CATTGATTTTATAATTCAAGACTCAATCAAAGAGAATTATGGATGGCAATAGTTCTTCTGTGATTTGCCTGTGCTGCTCATTAAGCTTAACACCCGTAGTGTATGTCTCTCTCCCTCCAGGCAATGTAGGAATAAAAATTACACGAGCAGGTTAAACACAGTTCAATACTTGAGAGAGGTGAAGTCACATGATACGTCGCTTATAAAGGTGTGAGAGGTATGGGAAGAAAAGGGGGAAGAAGATGGGAAAAGTAAAACAGTTAAAAAGACAGAAGAGGAAGAAAAAGTAGAGAGGGGGAGCACACAAAAAAAGAGGCAGAAAGAGAAACGCCATTATTACAGCCTCAACAGATAAACTATGCATCAAAGTGTAGCGTTTATTGAAAAACCATTTTTATGTGTGCTTTGAGGGCATGAAAATGAGAGCCCTATGTTCAAACACATCAATACTGCGCTGCGGCGGCCAATGCATTTTTTTTCCTTTTTTCTTTTCCTCCTCAAGATTCCCAATCAGATCTTGTGGCTCCCTGCAGGCTTTTATGCCAGCCACAAATGGTGCGACTGCCACCCTGACAAACACGCAATCACTCAGAGTGGAGAGCAAAGAAAAAGGAGAAAAAAACGCTGCTTCTCTTACTCAGCCTGCTATCTCAAAGGCCCTTTTAATAAGCCCATGAAAAAGAGCAAGTAATCCTTTGTAATGATTTCATTAAATGCCCTCATCACACCTGGAGATAATTCCATTATGATTGTGGCAATAAAATGAGGTTTTCATCAAGACCGGCAGACAGAAGGAGGAAAAGCTATTATTCCTCTCACATTCAGATATGACGTCCCCTCTAATATTATGATATGAGGCTATTTGGCAGAATTTATGACACTCAAGTCAATCCATAATGTTCGCAGAGTTTTCCCACCATAACAACAGACACTGTCTACGTGCTTTGTGCTGCAACTATGGAGGGGGAGTTATCTAAGGTGTAAGATAGGGGCGTGCGATCTGACGACCTTAGATTGTACAGGATCAAAAAGTGACGACGATCTGCTAAAACACAGAGATCGTAGAACCGTCTGTATTGAGCATTAATTATGTCCCTAACATGTCAAAACCATAGACTGTATATAGAATGGACGCCGTCTGCCTCCTTGCTGGGTGAAGCCACTGTGAGAACAGCACCCTCTGGTGACGGGCTGCAGTATAGGTCATAAATCCCGCCTCCTCCAGCAATCCCTATGGAGCTGTTGACAAACTTTAGAAATTAATTACACAGAATATAAACTGAGAGAAATGAGAGAGGAGTAGAGAGAGATGGGATTTTTTAGCTGTTTAGTTGTGAACAAAAAATAAAGAACCAGTCAAAAAAAAAAAGAGAGAAAAAAGAAAAGAAAAAAGTTATAAAATGGTCTGCTCTATACACGCTGTGTTTAGTTTTCAAGTGATTTTAATTATTATTCATAAAACTACTTTTCATTTTTGTAAATATTGACTTTTGTATGTGAAGTCTCATTTTGGGTTCAAATTTACTGGAGAATGAGACTGTCCAGTTAGAATAAATGTTATGCTGTTGGTTGTCAAAATATGGATATTTTATTTGATTCATTATTTCTATTTTTCACCCCCCCAAACAAACAAAAAATTGTGATAAAAATGTGATTGTGATTTTGCAAAAAAATAAATATGATATGAAGCTTTTTCCATATCGCCCACCCCTAGTGTAAGATCTCACAAACTTTTAAGAAATTTCTATTTCTTTTTCTTAGGTTTCTTACAGCAGAAGAAAGTGCAGATAAAGAAGCCTCTTTCTTAGCCTCTTCTTCACCCTGTACATATCCATATCTGCCTTCCTCAGTACACCTATGGCAGGTGTTATATCCAAACTGGTGAGAAACTTGCAATAAATGACGCACATGTAAAAGTAAAAGTGTGATACTGTTCACTTAAAAAGTGTGAAAGCCATATTTTAATATTTAGGGATAATTATAGTGTATTTTATGCTCTCAGCTCATACACGGCAGAGAAAGGTCGTTTATTCAACCCAGCGCTGGTTAAAAACACAACATGGACATGTGATATAGGTGGAGACAACATCGGCCTTCATCTGAAATCACCTCTGGCGCCCTGACAACAATAAACCCACAACTTTTTTGGATGGATCAGCATTTCAATTTACTTCCAAATCCACAAGAGTTGGGTAAATGCTGTTTTCAGACAACACATACTTTCCCCCGAAACATCCCCCTACTCAGCAGCTGCTGCTGCTATGCTAGATTGCAAGACACAATCCAAGGTGTGCTGATCACCAAAGCTCTAAGCCTGCAGTGGTTGATTCTTTATTCTGATTTTGCAGCCATCAGTCTAAACAACACAAACACAAAAAAGCCAAATCTATGCAAAGTTGGCAAACAAGCTTTTGTGACAACACCAGTCATCTATCTTGTCTATTTTTTCCCATAAGTTAGTGATACAAGTTTAACATTATATTGTTGGGCAGCATATTAACTTGTCCAAATAATTTTAAATATCACAGCTAAACTTGCTGGTCATCATCCTGCCTCTCATACAAAATCAAGTGTTCGGGTGCAAAAAACTTGCATTTACAGTTACGCCTGTTGGTATCAAAATTATTTAATAAACCAGTGCCCCCTTCCTGATCTATTTTACTTAATACTCTCGAATCGCTTCAACTGAAAAAGTGTTGAGTTGGTCACTTGAATCATACTCTGCAGCGTACTTCAGCAAAATTTATGTTTGAGTATTCAGGATTTCCTTTTTTGTTAGGTATGAGAAGATGAAGTCACCATTTTAACCATGCAGACAATGCCTGAATGGCTGTTTTTCTCTTAGAAATATAGCAACATAAATCTGCACAACATCTGCTACTCCTCTGTCGATGCCTGGCAACAAATGTTTTGATCTCTAAACCTCTGACCTGAACCTAGGCAGGAGGGATAGAAATATATCCACTGTATAATATCATGTACAGACGAAGAGTTGTGTATTTTTTGCTTCACGGCACCTTGCGTTTGAATTCTGAAAGTGAGAAATTTGTTGTTTTTGGAAGAAAACAGCTGCCAGAGACTGAGCAGAGAAAACCTGTTTGAACTCCTGCAAAAAGAGACATGGGCCAATTATTTGCAGGACATGTACACTGAGCTTATTAATTTTATTTTTTCTAAAAAAAGCTCTGAGACAGCTGGGATGCCAGAGAAAAATAATTGGTTAAAAACTCCTAGAGAAACATCATCTACTAAAAGTGAGAATTTTTAGATTATTGTATCAAACGTATATCTATTGAGATTCGGGTAACCAGGACGCAGTGGTAGTTGAAGTGAAAATAACAAGAAATGATAAGAAAACACATCCCAGCTACTTTACTAAAGTTGGATATGTTACAAGACAATATCCAGGAATTCAAGTAGTATTTCTGCCTGAGCCTAGATACAAACAAACCTACAGGAAAATCAGGTCTAACATAGAGGCAGAGTTAGAGAGAAAAAGAAGAGCAGGAGGGAAAAGAGAGAAAGAGAGAGAGAGAGTTTCAATACAAAGTGTACCAAAACAGAAACTCCGCGCCGCCGCTCTTCTGTCAGCTGGCCCTGTGGAGGTACAGTATAGGGCTTTCTCTAAACAACTTATATCACTGTTACCAAAATTCCGGTATCGCACAGCAAATGTGACAAAGGAGGAACGGGGAGGGATACTGTGTGGTGTCTGGAGGAATTGGGAGCTGTGTGTGTGTTTTTTGGCATTCATGTCACAGCCCTTTTGAAAAATGCATCAAAGCAATTGCAGAGCTCGTGGGACTGGGTTTGGGCACACAAAGTCATGACCATCATCCAAACCTCAGTGGAGAGCAGGGAGGGGAGTGGAGGGTTTCAGACGTGCTACTGTGCCACTTAATAATAAAAACAAGTGCCCTGCCAGACCGTGGTAACACAGTTTCATGTAAATTCTGTGGATGTGCCCGATGCTGGATGTAAAATGTGTGAGTGAGTGAGTGAGTGTGAGTGAGTGAGTGTGCCACTGTGTACAGAAACAATTTGTTGGTGGCAGAGTCTTGTATTTTTCATTCCTCTTGAAAAACTTAGAAACAGATTGTGTTGCTTTTCATGCTTACATTCACACATGGTTATTAGCTGAAATGCCGTCTGCTTTAAGAACAACTCTCTCTTCCACCTTCTGCTCGGAGGAATCTCAAGTAACGAGGGCCACCGTCTAACTATGACTGTCTTACATGTGCACTGACAGTTAGGAATTGAAATGAGATCACTCGCAGATGGATAATTCCCCACAGATGTCGCACTCTCTGCTCTTCTTCAGCTTTGTGGTTTTTGGCCAAGACTTCTCTAAAAAGAAAAATAAGTTCATTTCTCAGCATGTTTAGAGCTGAAAAGCTCACACTGTCACATCCATATTCACTACATTACTCATAAACACGGTGACATGATAGGCGATTGTAGTTACAGACCAACTGGCACAGGATTTCAGTTAGCTTTGTTATACATTATTTTGCTTGTCATCTTTTCAATCACTTAAGTTTTTTTTTTTTTTTTATATCTACTGCCAGCTCTGAGTCGGACTAAATATAATTTGACCATCTGAATTGGGATGATTGTATGCACAGTAGCTACTTTGCAGGATGGGTAACAAAGTCTGCCCTCACCAGTTTCATGTATTCTGTGGTTGATCTGCAATAAAATTTTGTGTGATATCGTTTCAAATCAGCGCACACTGACACAGAGAATCACAATGCATGCATGCAGAGTCTGTATCTGTGCCACGACAATGAAATGTAAACATGCACGAGACACTGCTGAGGCCACATGAACACCATGTTTCCGTTAAAAGATATGTCAGCTGCTGGAGGAGAGTGGGTGAGTTGTGTTTGCTAAAGAAATTAGTCAAAGCTAAAAAGATGTTTGATGGCTAGTACTGTGGCTGGGACCCTATATGTACTGTTGACAAAGTTAGGTGCTGTTCTGAGCATTACTTATGGCTAGTGCTGGACGATAATTCGATAACAATATATATCGATCGATAGACGTGTGGTGCGATAGAAAAAAAACGGGTCGATAAAAAGTTCGATAGAAAAACACAGTTTCCCTTTCTTTTTCATCATAGCCTATCATGTAGCTTTTACTACAGTCATTACTTCCTCCCAACCAATCACAAACGCAGACCCAGGTACGCTACGGCACCAAGCCCAGCCCCTATCAAACCACAACAGACAGCACGTGTAGTAGAAAAAATGATACAGCAAGGAGAAGCGGAGGACATTGTCCCGAAAAAAGGTTTTAGTAGTTCACCAGCATGGCAATGTTTTGTTTTTTAGAAGTCTGACAAAAAGCGACCAGCAGTCGTTTGCAAAATTTGCAGAGAATTAGTAAAAACCAAGTCTGGTAACACAACCAACTTGTTTTACCATCTAAACCGATCGCACCCGCAGGAGTACGAGCTGTGTCGGCCGCGCCGCGGCTCCACGTCATCGTCGGAGGAATCCTCTGGAACCGCTGCCAGCACCAGCACAAAGCATGTGAAACAGACCAAACTGGACTTCGTTTCTTGCCAAAATACGACAAAGCGTCCGAGCGGCATAAGGACATCACCCATGCAGTAACATGCTCCATAACGAGGGACATACTGCCAATAACTACCGTTGAAAAGCATGGCTTCGACCAGCTTCTAGCCACTCTCGACCCGCGATATGAAGTGCCCGGCCGCAAGTATTTCTCAAACACAGCGCTTCAGGCATGAAAATGGGTCAGGGGTTGAAAAGGTGAGAAGGGTGCGGAGGAAACACGTTCCCGTCCACTCATTAGCTTCTTAAAGTGGAAGAAAATGAGCTCATATTTTACAAAGACGCGAGTATTTGGATCATGGCTACTAGCAGGGGGTGCATTCGGCAGGGGTGCATTCTACGACACAACACCGGCGTGGATAAGTCCTGCTTCTCGTGCTTAGTTTGTGTATTAAGTCAATCACATGATAATTAAAATAAATCTCCCGACCCCGGGAGAAATATTTCAGTGTTCAGACACCAGGCTGTGGGCAGTTTCCCACACAGTTAAAACTGGTAGTATGCTATTCCCACCTAAAGCTATTCTGTTTATTTATATATTTGTTTGTTTTGTTTATTTTCATCAAAAGATTATTTAAATATTTATTTATCAGATTTTCTGGTCACTTTAGTCTTTATGTTTGTCAGTATTTACTGACGTCACTCAGGCCACTTAAGTTGATTTCTTTTTTTTTTTTAGTTCTTTTTTAAAAAACTTTCAGTTGTGGTAAAATAAAAAAGGTGGTTAAATAAAGGTTTGAATTTGAATTCAGTGCTTGTGTGTTCTTTATTAAAAGTAGGTCATTAAGCAATAGCATAAAACATCCAGGGCTGCAATTAAAATATATGTTAAATAATTATAATAATTATATCGATAATTATCGATATCGATCAATATGATTTATTTTTTATCGATATGCTTTTTTCTATATCGTCCAGGCCTACTTATGGCTATAGAGTATAGAAGGAAATTTGTACCATAATTCAAATGAAAAAAGATGGTGGCAGCACATCTCCAGAGCATCCCCTCTTGATAGTTTGAAAAGTAAGAGAACCATAATTTTGACCGGGTGGCGGCACTCTCTGTGGCCCACATGGTCTCACCGTGCTGGGCAAGAGCTCTGGCAAATGCCTCGGCACCAGCTCTGGAGCCTCCTGCTAGCTAGCCTGTCACATCACCAGCTTGTTTCTGAAATTGATCGGTAGTTTAAGTAAAGTTTTGAAGGTGAAGTAAATTCGCACTTGCACAGTACGGCAGACATAAAAATGAAAAACCAATGGCCTGTTTGGTTTCTCTTTTGAATTGTGTTAAGAAATAAGAAAATGAAAATGCTGTTAGTATTATTTATTCTTGATTTTATTTCTGAGTCAAATTATGCAGTTTCGACTTTGGAACGAAAAAGCCATACTGCAAATGCATTTGAATTTTCAGATTTGACAGTTCAAATTGAATTTTGGTACATATTTACTGGGGCATATTTTGAAAATTAAATCTGAAATGGCTTTTTCTTTAACATTTGAATTAAGTTACAGAATGATGAGTTTTGAAAAAGAAAAAGCAATTTCAGTTCAGATTATTTATCTTTAATTTTATTTATGAGTCAAGAAGTGCAGGTACATTATGACAATGCAAATGCATTTCTGTTTATCTATTTTCATTTGAATTATGATACAAATTGGCTTCCATAATAGAGGGGCTTTTTGGTTCGAGGTTTGCGCGTTGAGGTGTAGACTGCTGTGTATTGCCATCATGCAGTCGTTGCTGAAGTTGGTATAAGTAAGCGGTCGGCAACATTAATCTCTTGTGGGGGTGTCTAACTCGTGTTAAGGTATGTTTGACCATAACTTAAATTTATGCCGGAATATCCCTTTCAATAATAATATCACTGTAACAAATCATGAATAAAACATGCTATGATGAACATTCTGTAATTCAGGCACCCCTCAGATTGCTAGGTATGAGACCAACTGCAAACCACTAGGTGGTTGCGGCAATGGCAAGGAAACTGGTCTGGATATACGGGTAACTAAGTTTACTCTACATAACAGAACAAGGATAAATATTAGAGCTGCTTTTGTAAAATGGAGAGAGGTCAGGGCTCAGAAGGGTTTCATATCTACATATTGCACCCTGAAGTGTCCATCATCTGCCCCTTCCAAAGCTGTAGATGAGGGGGAAACACTGTACCCTCTTACCATAATTGGCTTTTTCTGTAGTCTCTTTGACTGGAACTTCTAATTAACAGCTAACCAGCCAACAGCAGTGTCTCTGTGATGATCTAAAGTTAGCTGATCAAATCAGCCGCGCTGATGTATTGGCTGGGCTTTAATTATAATGAACTAGTTCTGGAAGGATGATATGTCTTGTCAAGCTAGCAGCCAATCACACCAAACACATCCTCTGCACTGTGGTGCTCTATTTAAAGGACCTCACTCTGTAAGTGACCTTTGAAAGAGCCACAGGTTTCTTCAGTTCGACATTTGCTGAATTTGTTTTTAACCTGATGTGACTTATATATGATCTGCTCTCTACATCCTATCGTTACATTGATATGTTTAGCAAGTCACATTAGCGAGAGCAATAAACTATGTTGTCCCAGACGTTAAAATTGGTACGTTGCTATGATACTCTATGTATAGTTATTGACTTTAGACAGACCTTGAATAAACTGTCTTTACAAATAACTTAGCATAAAAGGCGTATTTTCAGTTGACATATAGGAAGCATAACATTTACAAAAGACTAAAGACTACAGACCATGGCTGAGGACTCTGAAATAACAGGATTCTCTGGTCATATGTCCTGGATATGTGGAAGAAATAGTGCTAGCATGAACCACAATCTGAAATAAATGCACAGGTTACCTTTACTAATGTTATAAATAATCACCTTTAACAGTGTTTGGTTCTAATAAAATTTACCTTTACATTAAAAAAAGCACTGCTTTAGTTGGAATGGGAACATTTAGGATAATGTGAGTTCATACTCCTGAAGATTAGACAATATATTAGGGCTGGGCGATATGGCCTCAAATCAATATCATGATATAAAAAGCAGTTCACCCCGATAACGATAAATGGTTGATAACTACTCCACAAGCTGCTCACCCCCTCCCACATTAACTTCGTCTACTTCAGCCGCTGCTCCGGCCGGTACAACTTTTGAACCGTCCTCCATCTCTTCACCTGTCTTTCCCTCTTTATTACGGACTGGAGTCATGACTCTGACATAGGACAGCATCTTAAAGGGACATGAGACCATAGCCCGCTTAAACTCAATTAAAACTAACTGTTATTTATTTTTTTTTACATCGAATATACCGATATGAGAAAAATGACGTCGGTTATTGACGTAAATTTCTGTATCTGTAAATTTTGGGTTTATTTCCCAGCCCTACAATGTATACTCACAAATTGAACCAACAAACTATCCAACGTATATCATTTATTTTTCCTGAACACTGAATAGACATTAAGCACACTACCATCAGAACAGGGAACTGAAATTGTTGCAGCTTGGTAGCAGATGTTAAAAAATAAATACTGTACAGTGTTTTTTTCAGGTTGTGATACACTTAATTTAAAGCGTTAGGAACACATCCACCTTTCTGAAGTTAAAGCCAGTTTCTCAAATTGACTGTAAGCATAGAGGAGCTTTTGTTATCTACAGTACAAATGAACAACAAGTTTGGAGTAACACTGCCAGGGGAAGCTGTCACACCAAAGATGCTGCGTTTTCTATTTGTTCAATTTATTACAAATGCAGAGGGATGGCTGGCCGGTCTAACCTTGTAATTGGGTTTAGCTTTTTAAGTGGTACCCCTGGTCTCAAGTCCTGGATCTGAGGTGGAAATAGAGGTTAAAGTTCAAGATGAACTGGCTCAGTCAGTCACATGAGCTGCAATCCCAAATAGACAAATCGGTAACATGGACATCTATTATTCGGCAGCTATCCTGGTGGGATCACATGTCAGGGTCACCGCCAACGTGTCAGGGTGGCACTGTGAGTTTGGATAACATTTCTGTATTCCCTCGATGTTGCACTGTCGTGCCACTGAGGGGACCAGCAAAGAACCTTAAACCCTCCAGGGAATGTAGAAAAAACTAGTTGAAAATGTATAGGAGTCATGAGTCTGTGTCTTGGGTCATGTGGTGGAACTCTGGGATAGAGCAGAAATGTATGACCTCACTGTCATACAACCTGCTTCAAAGAAATATGTAGTTGTCCAGGAGTGTATACTTGCAATACTTATACTTCAATATAAGTGAGGGGGTCAGACTGACAGAGGATGAGGACTGAAGCAAGATCAAAACGGCAGGATTTACAGGACAGTTCACAGAGCAGCAAAATAAGTCTGAACATATTAACACCTTATTACTCAATACTGCAAACTTGAAATTGTGAAGCAACTCAAGTGTTATATGGAGTCATATTCCAAGCTGGGAATCACATTATGAGAAAAAATCCAAACACATGATCATGAAATCCCTCTCTAAAACTGCCGTGTTAAGTGTCTCGTATGTTGGTGAAGCTTAGGTGAGAGATGGGGTCAGGACATGAGACAGGCTCAGCCCACCGTATCTATTCTTACCCAGCAAATCTCATTAAAGCCACTCTGCCTCTCACCCAACATCATCAGTTTCAGAGGGAAACAGATTTGGATATTACACCCTGGCCCTACTCTTAAAACACTGGATCTCAATCTTTTAGAGTTGTCTGCTGAGGGAGGGGGGGAGTATGTATTGACTTTTCCTCTACCCTCTTTCATCTTAATGCATCCCCCCCTCCCTCCACCACTACCACCACCACCAATCTACTTTTGTTGAACACCTTTCCTTTCTCATCACACTTCATCAATCTCTCTATCCTTGCTGGGAGAAAAATGGCACCCATTACCTCTGTCATGTGGTCCACAGAAATAGCATTTTTTACACAGACTAACATGAGGTAAAACAAGTAAGGTTACTCATGAGACGGCAGGACCAGGGTAGTAAAACATGAATCACGCCTAAATATTGAGTGACTTTCATATTGTAAATAGAATTTAAAAGTTGGGTAAAATGGGTGCTTATCCCCTCGAAAATAATGCAGGCTGTGTAAACCGAGCCTCTACACATGGCTGACGGATGGTTATCCTCTTTATCCTACAGGCTGCTATTGGAGATAACAATGTGTTGAGTGTTTGGATAGTTAAATGAGCTTAACCATCATTCCTATAGTGCCCCATTTTGAGTTTTTAAGTTGAGTTTCAATTACTTCATGGGCAACCTTTTTTTTCTATTCACCAGGAGTTTGAGCTTTTCTGTACATCTACCTTCAAGAGCTCTGCAAAGCCCTGCTCATACAGACAGTATTTCTGTCCTCAGGAGGGAAAATCTAAAGCCAATGAAACAATAAAAGTAGAGGTAAACCAACACTGTATGTACTCAGTGTGTCAGATAAGATAGAGGAGTTCTCATACTGGTGCCTGTTTATGACCCTCAAAAGCAAATAGGACAATCAGCAACAAGACTGTTAATTTCACTGAGGTAATCTTCCATGCTCCAAACCGTTATGAAGAGGTAGGTGTCAGATCAGGTGATTGAGAGCAGGCCCCAACACAACCTCTTTTTTACTTTCTGATTTTCACAGTAAATAATCAAAGTGAGTGATATGTATAAATATGTACCGGAAAAAGGTGTTACTTTGTCCACAGGGGGGCGCCAATTAGGGCTGGACAATTCTGGCAAAGATAATAATCGAGATTATTTTGATTGATATTGAAATAATGATTAATAAACATGATTATTCATTAATTCCAAAACTTGAGTATTTGTTGAACGACCGAAACTTAACTTTAAATATAACTAATAAATATTAATCAGCTCTGTGATTCCAAACAATAACTTGCTAATGCTAATATTCGGCTCGCGTACATATGAGTCCGAGTTACAGCCATGTAAATAAGAAAAACTCTCATTTTTAATGTGTGTCTGCTTTAATTTAGCTGTGGTGGTGCGCCACAATCAGTTGCCTATAGGGGAAAAGCCTGAAGTCGGTCACGTTGCCTTGGGGAGCAGACACGACAGCGTGACAAACTTTGCAAACAATTTCCTTTTGCTTGACCTGTCAAATTGAAGCCAAAATGTTTCCAGATTACTGAAGTTGTCCTACCTTTTTTTTTCAACCAAACGCTGCCTTTTCACCATTGTTTCCATCGCTCACTCCTCATACTATTGATCCACACAAATCACATGCTTGTTGCAGCCGCACATAACACGGGTGCATTCAAGGTGTTTCTCCAGCACGGGAACTTACATACATGCCGCACTGTGCGGCGCATTGATCATTTTTCTTTGATTATAATGTTTTTATGATTGTGAGAAGTCAAAACTGAAATCATGATTAAAATTTGATTAATCTTCCAGAACTAGTGCAAATATCAACTCAAAGCAAAAATTCCTCATTGCAGTTTTAAAGACATCCTTTTTTTATCTCTTCTCATTATTTCTCTGTGAATGTCTCATGTGACCGCACATTTAGGGACTGGTCATGTCGAGCACGTGAATCTACCTTTAACCCTTACCTATAGCCATGAGCTGTAGGTGGGGACCAAAAGAAGATCACAGTTACTAAAGGTGGTTCAGGCATTTGATAAGGATGGCTTCTGGACACTTCCATTTGGAGGTGATCCAGTCACATTCAATTGGGAGGAGACCTCAGGGTAGGCCAAGAGCTCGCTAGAGGGATTACATATCCCACCTGGCCTGTGAGTCTCTTGGGATCCTGGAGGAGGAGCTGGGAAATGTTGCTGGGATGAAGGGGATCTTGGGGGACTTGCTTAGACTGTTGCCCCCAAGGCCCAACTCCGGATAAGCAGAAGAAAACAAATGAATTGAAGTTCAACACCTCGGCATCTAATTAAAAAATAAAAATCTCTGTTGAGCTCCAGATAGAAAAGTTAGCATCTGAAACTTTGGGGCTATTTGATAAGTTTTGCGATAAAGTAATAAGCACCAGGGCGTATGGTGTTGAGAAAATTCAACTAAAAGACTACAGTAACAAACAATAGAGTCACATTATCTGCATATTTTGGAAAAAAATGTTAAAGATTGTCATTTTTTATTAATGTTATAATTAACTAAATTTTACTTCAAAATATGACTAACTTTATCCATCTTAAAAAACATATAAAAAAGCACTCTGGGACATCAATGTTCAAAAAGTGTAGAGTAATCTGTTCAGCAACTGTTGATCTAGTTCAGTCTGGATCAGACAGATCAGACAGATGGACTGACTCTCTGTCCCTGGAGTGATAACACTTGCTTTCTAAAAACGCAACCACTTTGCCTCATCCACTTAAGCATGATAAATGATGAGAACACAACGGGCACCTTAAGTAAGGAATAGTAATGACCTCTGCATTTTGCACAGCCTAGCATTTTGGTGTTAATTGCGTTAGGTTGCAGAGTGCTGTTAAGGAACCTGGAAGGTCTGCAGGCGCTGCATCACTGGCTAATCAATTGCCATTATCATGCACTGTACAAAGGTCTCCACCCAAGGGACGTGTTGGACCCTGCTATTACTTCCCTCCTTTGCACTGAAGATGCTCTGCAGAAACAGCAGTGTTTAATTGCTGCTGAGGGACGATTTTAAAGTTTTGGAGTGATGGTTATCTTTAAAAACTGCGGCTCCTCGCTCCAGAAGTGCCAGTCTGATATGAAACTTTCCAACAAAATGGCTGATCCGGGTGTTAGGTCCGAACATAAAGCCATTACAGGATCCTTTAAGGCTGCACATCCAGGAGTAAATGTTTGAAAAATGTCATTGCGGGTCTGTTGTGGCAGCACAAATCTGAGTTTAAGTAAGCGCTGTTTTGTTGTTGATGTTGTGTAACAAAACATTTTAGAACACTGAATACTCACTGAGCCTCAGCGGGAACATAGACTGTCCTCAACAAATGTGATTATGAGGATTAGTTCTGTCTCACCCTCTCCCCCCCACATTTCCCTGTCCCCTCTGACCCTCTCGCTCACAGCAGGAGGGAGGGAAAGGGAGGGAGTGAGTTGGCAACAGGTTTTACTGCATGTGACAACATTCTTTGCACCAGCTCACAAACAGCTCTTTATATAAAACTTTATCCACATGGATCAGTCGGCCAGGCTTTAGCGGTCAGTCTGTATTTTTTCACTGTATTTCAGCTTTTTTTGAAAGAGGAGCAAAGATGATAAGGACTATGATTCAGCATGCAAAGAAATATCCTGGGGTAGGTTACATTATGATCCGTATGTAGTGTTTTTTGTGAGTATTGCTATGACTACGAAGATTTTTGAGGTATAACAGATTCTTAAAAACTCTTAAAGATTAACCAGATTTCTTTTCCCACATTGTATATAATGAGAACTAATACAGTGTAGAGCAAAACAACCACTTCCAAACACTTCAAATGTTTTAAAATGTAAAGACTAGTGAAGGCTTTATGGCTAGTCATAAAAGTTATTATTTGTTGTTGTGTTAAAGCCTGATATTTTGATAAAGTTGTTGCAAAATGTTTGTCAGAGTTGCTGTTACTTGACTCTGATGCCTAAACAAAGGGACTGAAAACTCTTTGAGTCGTGAGCCTTCGGGTTCACATTTTGCTCTATACTTTAAAACAACAAAAAACACAGATCGCACTGTCTAAATCTTAACACAAGTACTGTACCTGCACTTTGTTACAGTCTATCATTGCCATTTTAATTTGCTTTGTTGCTGTCATAATAAATGAAGAAAGAAATCAAAAGAAAGACGCAGAAGCTGTCACTGCTTGTTTTTCCTCTCTTGCCTCAGAGCTATGCGGAGGGTGACCCAAATTCATGGATTGACAGAGATAGCTTGGCAGAGCACCAGAAAAGTAATAAGGGCAGCAACACTATCGAACTCCAGCGAGTATAAAACACTTCCTATGTCGGTCAGGCTGAGTGGTAGAAGGTGAAACACACACCAGTATGAAGATATCAGCACCAGAGAGTGGACAGCTCCCTGCACACAGGCCTATCTTGTTGTTTGATCTGTGAGTGTGAGTGTGTGCACGTGTGAGTCATCAAAGCTGACCTGCTTTCAAGTAATTGTGTGTGTTTAAGCACGGCTGTCTAGTGCTGTAATTACCAAAGCTGAGGATCTACTGTCACTGAGTGAAGTGTGCAGTGTACTGGTGTGAGTGTAGTTGTATATTCATATGTCCATACGTATGTATATAAACATTTAAAACTTTAGGGCTATCAAAAACAGTTCTTCGAAGGTCTGATGTGAGAAGGTGAAAAGTGTACTGCAACATATTTGGTGGGGGCTTGGCAAGTATAGGGTCTATGTTGCTAGGTGAGCACACATGACTACAACATCAGACAGGTGCTAAAATACAGAAAAAAGTGAGATTATCAGTTAGTTTATCCTAACAAAGTACACTAGCGTAAAAATGAATGCATACTTTAGTAATAAAAAAATACATACAGTAGTTTCAACATGCCAAAATGCAAGAGTAGTTACTTGTAGAGTTTATGATTATGATTCTGGCCTCCCACTATTATAAAATATTATCATCAATTATTGTGCCGCCTACTGTGTTGTCCCATTATGTCCTACAAGGATCAACTGTGAAAATGGTTCATTTTCCCTGAAACAATCTTTAAATTTGACATTACTTTTTCAATTTTGAAGACAGGACTCAAATTCCATTAAGGGGTTTTCCCAGCACTGATGCCTAAATAAGTATAAAACCTACTAAATATGAAAATACTGATGATGGAATTAGTCTTTCAATAATAAAACCCTTGTTAAACCCTTTAAAGAAATGATTCCAGGCATTCAAGATATGTCATTGTGTTTTTTTAATGAAATTGTCTATTTTAAGTCATTTATGTCCTTGTTAGTGGTTGTTCATAAAAGCAATAGGGGGCGCCTTGCAAGGCACGTGTAAGGCTGCATGGCACAGAAAATCATATGGGTTTAAGTTTCACTTACTGTGCCATAGCTTCAGCTTTTAAAGAATACAGTCTTTTTGTCAAAGAAAAAAACTGTATGATAAAGAAGTAGTTTGTCAAGTTTTGAAGGATAGGCTACAAGTTGTGTCACCAGTGACTGATCTCTACAGCTGTAGGTTACCTGTAAGTGATTCTGAGCTGTCAATACTTACTTAATTGTGTCAAATATAAAACAATAATTTGCTGTGTGAAGAAAATGACCAAGTAAGATTTGCAAATTTGGTTTATCATTTAAAATTAACTTTTTATTGTAAATCTGAAGAGCCCTGAGTAAATGACAAAAAAATCACTGACTGCATCCTCATGCAGAGTTTTGAAACTGGCAGCAGTCAGCTGTCAAACTGTGTTCAGGCACATCTGTTTACTTGAATTCAAAAGTTGCCAAGTAGTTGTTTTTGAGTGGTTTGAGCGTATAGCAGGGTGACGCATTTTCTTCATGTTTCTACGGCAGTTTTAAGGTAGCAGAAATATCAAAGTTTTATCACGAGATGTACTCCTAATCAACTACAAAGTGAGTGGCGATGCAATCAGACAGAAGACAGATGTCTGGATACAGCTGAGCAGAGACATCCTTCAGTTCAACCTGATCAAACTGTCAGCTTTCTACAGCTTCACTGGATCTGTGTGGGCTGAGAACAGCTGTTCACTGCTGGCGTGACTCACTCTCCGCCTCTCTCTCCCTGTCTCATATACAGAGCATCTCATAGCAAATAAGTAGCAGGAAAGTGTTGATGAATAGATGCTGCACGGTGAGAGGATTGACGCAGCTAAGGTTTGGCTGTTTAAGTTGACATATCATATTATCCCCCTGTCCCCTTAATGTGCTTTTCTATTTTAATTCCTGTCATCATCACAGCTCAGAACATCATGTAAAAGTGTGTCTGTGGATATATGTTTGTGTGTGTGTGTGGTGTGCACACTTTCAGGTCTGCGTCTGGCTGCTCAGACCTGCATATTTGTGTGTCTCCCATTCTGTGTGTATGTGTGTGATGCTGTCGCTCAGCCTGACAGGTATAGTGTAGAGGAGAGGCTGGCACACACTCACACAGACACACAGCAGCTCTTTCTTCCACCGCGTCCTTGCCCGCTCAACCCGGGCTGACAGTGAGCCGCTGCACACATGGCCTGGGCCTCATGCATATGGAGGAGGGCAAGGAGAGGAAAAACAGGAATATCAACTACCCATGTCTGTGTGTGTATGTGTGTGTGCGTGCGTGCGTGTGTTTCTCACAGGTGTACGATCATGGTACATATCACAGCCATCCACTTGATAGGATGTGTTTGTTTACTTTCATGAGTCTTGGTGGTCTGGGTCTAATGCATTCCTACTCTCCTCCCATCCTCTCGTCTCCTCTTTTTTACAGTTAATCCCTCAATTTTTCTTCCTGACCCTGGGCATTACAGGGGCCTCCGTCTATCTGATCCGACTGGCAAGAGGTCCACACGTTACGTAAGATTATTTATCTACACTAGTAGTGATGGTAGTAATCCTTCATCCTTTGTTTACCACCAGTGTTGTCATCTTTGGAAATAAATCAAAAACAGAGGTGGATTCTCATTCTTTGACCGCTCTCCAGTGGTTCACATCCTTCCTCACATGAAGATCTTTGAGTGTAACACAGAGGGGGGGTGTCCAAACCACATAGCCTATCAATAGGGGTTCCTCAGGAATCAGTACCTGGTCCCTTCTATTTTCAATCTCACTCGGTACAATCCCCCTGCCTTCATGGTTTCTTGTATTTCCATGCAGATGTCACCCAGCTCCCCCGTCATCCCCTCAAAACGACACATCTCTCTTTGCTCTGATCCCATCATGCCTTGCTGATATTTCTAAATAGATGAAAAAAACTACCTTCAGCTCTACTCGTCGAAAACTGAGCTTTCTGTCATCCCAGCCACTCCTTTCAATCAATGACAGATCAATATCTAGCATGGATGAAATGAACTCTAGCTCACTGGGTGTACCCTGCATGACTGATGACCAGATGACCGTTAATGTTCAACAATCGACAAATGAGTTTACAAGAGGATAGGGCTGCACGATTAATCGATGTTAAAACGTAATTGGATTATTTGATTATGACGATGTTAAAATCCTCAAATCGATTTTCCTCTCTATCATGTCCTGCCCCTCCAGGCCACCGTAGGCTCACCCTTCCTGTGGGAGCGGCACACACACCAGTGTAAACAAACATGGCGTTTGCCAAAGAAGGCGATAATTTCGTGGCTAAATAAGGCAAAAGCAAGTCAGTCGTGTGGAATTGGTACGGCTTCGCAGTTTCAGGAGAAAAGCAAACCACTCCCTGCTGCAAAGTCTGTCTGAAGGCGGTATCAACCCGTCCACAAGGAAACCAATTCAGGAGTAAACGCAAAAGTTTTTGTTGTATCGGCGTTTCATCCACACGAAAACGGCGTTTTGGGTGACTGTAAACGGTACTTTTTCGAAACGGGTCAGAGAGTGAATAAATCCGTAGACGACTACCATTTCATCTTCGTGTGGATGTCTATCTGCATCTCTGGAAACAATTATGTGACACACAGCGTAACTATTTAATGGCGTCTGCGCGGCCAAAACAACTTTTATATGCATGCTCTGTACTCTTCTTCTGTCTTTTGTGCATTTCCTCGGCAGCATAACAGCGCCACTTACTGGCTCGGCATGTGCACTAGATCATTTTCAGTGGTTTCGTTTTGAGAGATTATAGAAAAACTTTTTATTAAAGTGAAGTTTGGTGAAGTTGTCACTGAATAAAATAATCGAAATCGAGAAACGAGTTTTTAGAGAATAAAAAATCAGGATTTTACTTTTGGCCAAAATCATGCAGCCCTAAAAGAGGCATATGGTTGTATGTTGAGCAGTAAAACATGTACAACTTGACAACTTTGGTATGATACCACAGCTTTGTCTTTTTATATCCTTTCCTTCTCTATTGAACTAAAAGAAATTCGACTTAGTACGATTACAGTAGGTGTTCATTGGTTTAAATGTATCTTGAAGATTTAGACGTACAAAGAAATGCAATGTATTGATCTTTAACATTGTGTAAATGTTCTAACTATGCTAAAAAATGCATTCACATTTGAAAAGAATCTAAAGCCATCCATATCAAAGCCCTGGCGTCATGTCATTAGCAGCATACCATTTGTTGAATAATAGTTTACAATATGTGGAGCTTCTGTAATTAACTGTCATATTTCTGAAGCTGTAACATACACAGTGAACTCAGTGACTGCACATCAACAGTAAATGTGTACTGTTCACGTCCTATTTTGGGCCACACAGAGGCACTTGTTGTGAGGGTCAGACATAACGCCTGACCTCATCATCAGCTGGGGATGAGTGCTGTGGTCAGTGGTTTCCTCTCCCTCAGAGACCGGCTGGTGTTTGTGGTAATGGAGGGAGAGCGAGAGACATGCCCGCTCTGCCATCAGCTTCCCGGTCTCTTTGTTTGTGCATTTGCTGCGTGATGTGCTGCCAGAGGGGGGGAGGAAGAGGAGAGGGGGCGAAGGATGAGAGTGAGGAGGAGGGATGGACAGACACAGAGGAGTGCGGTGAAATCCAGACTTTGGTTAATGAACAGAGGAGAGCTGCCAAGTCACTGGGCTGAGTTCACCTCATCTCATAATCACCTCGCTTTTTTCCAACTTGTGTCTTCATCTGGCATCTATGAATTTATCTCCTTTTGTCTCTGTCCTTCTGTTACTCTGTCCTCTACGCTCTCCCATTTGTTTACATCTTGGTCTTTTTCTCGTACAATAGTCTTCCTTCTTTGTGCATCTTTTTCCTCTTTATCAATTTCCCTCCATTATTTGTGCTTTTCTTAAACCCTTTCTTTTCTTGTCTTCTTTCTGTTATTCTGCATGCTCTGAATCTTTCCACACGTGCAGCCTCTGGGACAAAAAGAACAACCCAGAGCCTTGGGCCAAGCTTGACCCAACCTACCAGTACAAGGTACCACTCTCCTTTCTCACAAGGCACATGCACCCTCACAATAATCATGACAGCCAGGGAACTCATTTTGAGAAGAATGCTGTCCTAAGTAAATGTCCCTGAAAAGCTCACCCATCATCAGCCCCCAAAAAAAACTCAAAATAGATTTGGACCGACCAGTACAAGCAAAATAATATCAAATCAACATGGCTGCTTTCTGGCCTCCTTCTGCCCAAACGTAAGAAAGCAAAGTGTATTTCAAAGCAAATTAAGGCAGATGGAAGCAGAGCTTTTAGAGGTCTGTAATGATTTACCTTACCTCTCAAACAAGGCCAGAGCCACAGACAAGCTAATAAAAATATTAACAATGCTGACCCAAAATAGAGCAGAAAAACAACCGACTGACAGCTCCCTGAAGAGGAGACGTGGATGATGTGTTTTTCAGAGAAAAGAGGATTTTCTTAGGGGGTTTCAAGGCTGCGTTGCTTTGCGGTGGAATGAAAGTCGCTGCCGACAAAAGGTCAGGACATGGCATGTTTAATTCTCGATAGCAAGGCAAAGGTCTCGCATCGAAATTCCACTGAAGTCCAAACAATGATAGTAATGTGGAGAGGGGAGTCAGGGGGAGGCGAGGATATTAACAGCAGACTCATAAAAAAATACAGTGAGGAAATAATCCCTGCCAGAGCAAAAATGTGTGTTTTTTACGGTTTGAGGCTTGTGTGGATGACATGTATTCAGTCATACAATATATATTCATTTTCAGTCAATATGTCATTAAATATATCATTCATTCAGGTATTAAAGTAAGGATAATTGAAAAAATACACATCAGCCAAGAAGTATCTCAGAGAAAAAAAAGCATGTCTTGTGTGTACTGCTGTCTTTATTTGCACTACAGTTAGAAAATTAAATTCAACATTCGTTTTTTTCCACATGCATTCTCTCACAGACAGCACTGATTAATTTAATTTAAGCAAAACAGATTTAAATGTATTCCTCCTGCCTTCCACAGTTTCTGGCCGTCAAAACCGACTACAAGAGCCTGAAGAAAGAGGGGCCTGACTTCTAAAGGTCCTCCATGGAACTCCAGAGATACCAAGTTTGGAATGACCTGCTGTCGCGTCAGTAATGTGAACCGACTTACTGAACATTTTCTCGGCATGACTAACGCTCTGAATCAACACTGTAACCCTGAGCACAAAAACTATTAAAGGTTGCATGAGACAGAAAAAATGGCTTTTTGTGCTTTTGACACAGGATCCAGTAATCTGCAGGTAAATGATGGTTTGTATATTGGTTTGCAGAGTTTGCCACCCTTAAGCAGAGCTCTGGTCCTCTTTGCATGTTAACGCCCATGTTCCTGTGCTGGTTATGGTTGTACACTGCACCAGTCAAGTGGTTATACGCCAGCAGAGAAAGCTACCTACATCTTTATTCCCATTGCCTAGATAAAAATACTACCAAGCACAGTCATAATGTGCTTGTTTATATCATGACTACTGTCCACATCCTTTAATTACAGCACTACCAAGTACCAGATGACTGTGCTACAGCATAGACACGACATATGATCCACGTTTCGACCATAGACTGTAAATACTATGGACAACTTGGCTCCAACTTCCGTCATTTTACAAATTTGAAGCCGAAAAGCTCTCGGTATTTCCGCGATTTTTTTCCACTTTCTGAAACCAACATTGCGCAGTGGCGTTGTAGGCATTCAGCGGGAGAGTCTTCGTCAGTCTACGCAGTCTTCGTATGTCCATAGGCTGTATCAAGTGTCAATCATAGAAAACATGAACCTCTAATAACTTTTAAAAATGGAGCTGCTCAGAAAAAAGAAGACTTGAGCACAAACCAGTCTGACAGTAACTACATGTCAACATCGCAACCCGGGGGGAGAAACATTTATATTCTGTGTAATTCATTTCTAAAGTTTGTCCACAGCTCCATGGGGATTGCTGGAGGAGGCGGGATTTATGACCTATACTGCAGCCCGTCACCAGAGGGCGCTGTTCTTGCGGTGGCTTCACCCAGCGAGGAGGCAGACGGCATCCATTCTGTATACAGTAGATGGTTTTGACCTACAATGAAAATATTTAAACCAGCAAGTAACTCTGGTGGTGCTTCTGGTATAAGCCTCAAATATCGACTATAACTCAGCAGGTTGCTCTATGTTTTCAATATTTATCAGAAACTACCAATCAGAAATGAAAATTAAGTTAAGAAATTCTTGGCACATTTCTGGTTGGGAAAAAGTATCAAGAGCCAATAACTTTGTTGGTACTTAATTGAGATAGTTCAGTACTGAAGGTAATGATATGCTCATAGTTCTCCTCTTGGTACTTGACCTCAACACTTCATGTCCTTCAACGCTGTTTCACCTTGATTGTTTTTCTCTATAACAGCCGACTGCCTTTCCCTTGAGATCCTTTCCCTCAAACACAAATTCAAGATTCAACATATCTGAAGAAGAGGTGTGTGTGTGTGTGTGTGTGTGTGTGTGTGTGTGTGTGTGTGTGTGTGTGTGTGTGTGTGTGTAATGGCTTTAAATAGCAAAGCAGCAACACTGCTAACAGGTCCTCAGGACAGTGTCTCAAACCTGATTTATGATAACGTTCCTCCTTCCTGTTGTAGGTGTAACTGTTTAATGAAATTGTTTTCTAGGAAGTGACTAAATGCAACTGCAGCTGTGTTCTGATGTTGGCTAACAAGCTGTCAGAAAAGGGCCTCCTATTGATTCAGGCTCACTGTTCTACCTGCTTCCAAATAAACGAAGAAACAGGTGACACTGCTATGCACAACTTCAACTTGGTAACAAACCCATGTAGAACAGAAATACTTCATAAAAATGAAATACTGATTCTGATTTCCAAAGGAGAAAAACTGTCTTCTCCTCTCAATGCCAGCAGTGAAGTGGCATGTAAGTCAAACATGCACATGTGCTTGGATATCAAGCTCCACATGAAGAGGACAAAAATAGAAATCAATCATGGCCGATGAGTTTTCACAGGGGTCATAAAGTTCTTTGAACCAGACTTCTGCCAGGAAGATGTGAGACCAAAGAGACAAACGACAGAACTTTTTGATCACTGCAAGTCTTGAAACAGAAAAAAAAATCAAACAGGAAAAAAAAAAAAAAAACTTTCCGTTCATATGAAGCAGGAAAATTACATGATTCAGAGATGACATTTTCTCTAAATGTAACTTGCGCTGGTTAAAAATTCACCCGTAGCAGAGAGTTCATTGAATGATGAATGTTTGTGTCTGTGTTGGCTGTTTGGACACCAGACAACATATTATCGGCCCTAATGGCACACAAACTGTCTCAATGTCAGACCCCTGAGTTCTCCTAATACACTCCTTAATAGACAATCTATGTTTCAGACCTTGCATGAGCCCATTTTATGTGCGTGTTTGCACGTCTGCTGCCTTCACACAGCAATAGTGCGGTGACCTGCCCAGTGGGTATTGTCTGTTGCTGGGTGGTAATTTGTGTGTATTTGTGTGTTTGTGTCAGATGCACAAAACCCGCTGACAGGTAATCAGCTGGGCCAAAGCATCACACTGGGGCATAATCACAAGGTCACACACTCACACAGATACACACACAGAGGGGGGCAGTTATTATCCAGCCAGAACAGCTTCACAGGTCGTTGTGATTGCATTGCCTCAGTGTGTTTGTATCAGTTTTAGACTATTACATTGGGAGCTACACAAAGCAGTGGCTTGCCATCATGCAATATACCAATTAGAAGCTAGAGGAATACTGTACTCATAATACTTTTCGTGTTAGTGTTTCTAATCATGATTTACACCATTTTTGGCCTGTTGTTAGTTTGTTGTAGTCACAGCAAATTGACAGGCAGTCTATGATCTTGAAACGTTAAGCTAATGCAGAAATGTTAAAAACTGACCCGCCTCCAAAGGTACCAATGGTTAAAGTCACTGACACCAGGTCCAAGCTTAATACAGGCTACGCTAATTAAACTCCAGAGCCAAAGCAGACCAGAGAAACTACATCACAACATAAGTCTTCCTTCTCCTATTCCTACCTTCTCCTGAGAAATTTTGACTTTGACACTTCAGCACAGACTGCGCTTTCTCTGTCTTGAACAGACTGAAACATCGATCACTCTTTGGGTCTTTTCAAAGCACAGAGCAGTCCACAGAGGTCTCCTCCCCTACAAACCAAACAAGACTCAGTTATTAAGAAACTGCTAAGAACATGGACTGATACAACTTCATGTCAAATCAATGTTTCTAAAAAACCATTAACAGGCTTGAAGGAGCCAAAATATATTTGTTTAGGATATAATTTCTAGTTTTTTCCCTTTGGCGGGGGTGGGGGGTGCCTGGGCCGGAATGAACATGGGTCTGCGGTTGTGGTAGTTGCAGGACCCTGCAACCAAAGGACCAAATTAACAGAATAACAGAGGATTTAGGTCTAAATGAAACTACTGCGAGCTTTAGAGTCTGAAATTGCGCAAATTATATTCTATAGGCCGTTTTGATAAAAATAAAAATTAATCTATGACTCCAATTTCTGGATTGTGATCTTGTTGGTAGGGCGGAGGTATCCATTGTGAAGGTGGGGAGCCCTGCCAAACACACTACAGGGGAAACACTGTTGAGTGCTTAGTTGCAGCATAGTAACCTTTTCTTGTGCATGAGGGACAGTGACAGGAGTTACAGCTTCACTAACAATGTGAACAGTTGGTGACTAGGCTGGGTAGCACTGGGCATGATTGACAGGCCTAACAAATTTCATACATTTATGAAATTTACTATGTCGAGCCCATTTTTGCCATAGAGCTATTTAGCCCCACATGTTGGTCTGACCTAAACAGAAAGTGAACGTTCATCATTTCTAATGTATCTTCAGAGTTTTTGAGTTTTTAAATATATTGAACCCTCACTTAACATATTGAGTTTCTGTGTTGCACCCCAATTTTCTCAGCAAGTGAATTATCAGCCACAAATGTTTTTATATGCAGCCAAACCTCACTGCTTGAGACTGGGATGGGAATTTTAACAGATAAAAAGTTGTGTCTAGCACTAAGCTGAATAAAGGAAACAAACGGTTGAAACTTTGTGATAAAGAGCCAAATTAAATTTCAACAACAAACTTCTGAGTATATGAACAGCCCTGAATAGAGCTGAATAACTAAATTCATATGGCCTCAACAGTTTGTGAGTGCGTCAACAAACTCACAGAGTCCCTCTCAAAACAGCAAACATTAAGTGGGACATAAAATCTCCATCAGGCTTCTGTAAGCAACAAAGTATGGCAGTGTGTTATTAAGATCCGAGTTTGACAAACAGGTTCTGTTTTTCTATGTTTTAGCCACTGAAGTTTAAGCGGCAGCACTTTCTCAGCAGATACTGGAGCAGTTGTCAGCCAGAGAGGCCATCCTCTCCTTGATTACATCCTCACTGATGAGAAAGAGTTGATATTTTTAGATGAGGATTAATTTTAATGGGTGAGATAAGAAGTGAGCGGTGGGTTGGAGGAGGGACGAATAAATAAGTAAATAGGACATGCCGCAAAACAGGAGGCGCAGTGGCAGCACGAGGGTATGTGGCTGTTGTCGGGAGGCCCTGGGCAGATCCACTGATCCTCTGGAGATAGTGGGGCCTTTAATGTTTTCTCCCAGAGGTGCAACATGAAAATCAAAGAGCAAATGAATGATCACCATTACTCCAAGTGGAGCAACCTTTCTCCAATGAGAGTTTGCTGGGTTTGTGAGTAATGGCATTTTCTGAAGAGTTTTTAGGTTTGGAGCTTTGGTAAAACAGCGTTCTGGATACAGGTGTGACTGACACTAACAGATGTCTTGAATATGTCGTAGACAGATTCAGTCATCTGAATGAACTGAGATGTTCCAACAGAAACTAAAGGGCCTGGTCACATTGGACGCTTTTAAGGGGCTTTTGATGCCTTGGAGGTAAACACATCTGATTGTTGATTTTTATGATTGTGGTCAACTTGTTTTGCTTTTTATTAGAGGTAGACAACATGGAAAAAATATTATACTGAGACTTTGTAGCACCCAGCGCTAGGTTTCCACCCATTCTACATCTGACCATTCCCTCACTCTGCCAGACCATGTCCATTTCCACATCCACAAACTCCAAATCCACTAATTACAGCATGACACTATATGTATTGTGTTCACTGATGTCATATAGTTTGGTCATAACTTGAAAAATATTCTCATTGTCAAAGGTGAA